GCCCTAAATCATAGCATCAGCATGATAGCAGGAATAAAATGACATTTGCTTCTGCTGCCCAAATGTCATTATTTGTCATTAGCCACTCTGTGGGTGTCCACTGGGGGTCCTCTGTGTCTCTGGGCCCTGGGATCTTGCTCTCAAGGTGCAGCCCATGCTGTGCTGTTACTCTTGGGCTCTGGCCTGAGGAAAGACGGTGCTGCTGTTTTTCCTTTGCTCCCTGACCGTGCCTCCTAGTTCTCTCCCAGATGGTAATCTTCAGCATCTCACTTCAAAGATTGCAAAGGGGATGGTCTATGGAACACACATGTTAGAGTTGTTCCAGGGTGTTTCAGATTGATATGAAAAACCCCTGCCTGAGACCCTGGAAGGCTAGGGCTTGGATGGATGAGCCTGACCTGGTTTAAGGCAGCTTCCTAACTTCTTACAGCAGGACAAGTACCCTCCATTTATTTTAGACTACAACCTTCATCAATCCCAGGGAAAATGGGAGACACAATCCAGAACATATGAAGAGCAACCAGGTTAGAGAGAGCTGCACTTTCTTTCTCCATGCATGCAGACACTCAGGAAAAATCTTTTACTGAATTAGTTTAACTAAACTAGAGTGTCTGATCATATGTGCTTTCAGCTTCACCCTGATATAGTCCAACCTGATGAAGGTTTGCTGGACAGGAGGAAATAGACCTTATGCAGATTTTTATCCTAGTGGTGTGAGTTCTTGTGCTGTGCATATACCTTGGAGCTTGCACTGGGATGGAAAACCATAGAGACCAGGAAACATCCTCTGGCTATCATTATTTGTCACTGAATTAACTATGGCTAGCTTTTCTGCTCCAAACTGAATTTGTGCATGACAGAAATGACACTCTTCCATTCTTGCAAAAGAAAGATGAGTGGAATATCACCTATCTCCAGGAACCAAATAACAGATATTTACTTGTGATCAATTTGAATCATTTACCATATGATCTTGCTGTCCAAGATAAAGCTTTTCCAAAGATTGCTCTTCAAGGAATCAGATCAACAGGAGCCCTACAGCCAAAGGGCAACTTTTGCGGAAAACAGGAAGACTGTATACAACAAATGAAAGGACATGAGGATGAGAGGGAGGGGGAATGTGCACAGGCATTGCACAATAAACTGATTGTGTGCTGAGTGCCTTGAGAACACTTGGATTCCTACTTGCAGCTGTTTGGTGTATCACAGGCTGCCAGTATCATTGTCTCAGTTGCCTTCTTTTGCTGTTATGGTGCAGAGGGCAGACAATGGAAGAAGGGATTTAGGAAGATAAAATGCCAAACAAAAGTAGCCCTTTTCATGTGCTGCTCTGGCAGCAATCAACCACTCTGCTTTTATTTTTATCAGGCTTTACATGTGGACACACTGCCCTTTAAGAGCATAGTGCAGATTCCTGGCAAGCGATGTATGACATTATTTCAGAGATATGTTTGGTAAAGACCTATGAAACCAGACGCTGGTCTTACTGTATGTGTCACTTGCTCTGTCACAGATACTTGAGAATCTAGCTCATACCTACTGTATGTTAAATATAGAGAGGATTTAGTTGGCTCCTGGTCAGACTTGCCTGCAATTTGTTCTGGGAAGGCTGCTGCCACCACCCTCTCTCTCCCTCATTTTAGGTACACAATATTTTTTCCAGCACTCCCCAATTTCAGTGTTATTAATAGAAAGCACCCCTGAGATTTTTTCAAGCCTCTCCCTGCTTTAATCCTGTTAAAATATGCCTTTTCTTGTCTTTGAGAAGTGAGTTATTATATTTTCCATATTTAGTTCATTTATCTTCACAACAGCCCTGCCCAAACACAGTATATGAACATACAGGTGATGTATATCTGAGAGGTTGAATGAAAAGGAATGATGTATCATCAGCCAATGAGTTTCGTAACAATTATTCCTTTTTCAGGTAGATAAACTGGGGTCATCATTTAGCCAAGGCCATACTCTAAAGCTGAGGTAAGATAAGAACCCAGGATTTGCAGTCTTAAGTCCAAACACAAGTTCCCTTACTAACCAAGCTTACAAGAAAACTGTGTATAATTAGTTTTCCATTGAGACCAAGCATTTGAAAGATCTAACATCATGGAAATGTCCATTTTTTATATTTTGATATTATTTTTCATCATCACTGTTAACATTTCTATGCCATCCAATAGGCAAGGTTCTCTGGGCAGGATTATACAACATGCAACTATATTTCTACAGTTACCAAATATGTAGTCCAGGGATGACAAACTTTTTGCTGTTTGTTCCTTTGCATGTTTAACTCTTTTGGGAGGGACACATTTCCGCAGCAGGAAACTAGTTCTGGACTGCATGCCAATGGGAGGTGGAACCAAAGCTAAAAGGATACACACTATATTTACACATTGTCTGTGCACACCCACAAACTTGCGCTCTCTCTCTCTCTCTCTCTCTCTCTCTCTCTCTCTCTCTCTCTCTCTCTCTCTCTCTCTCTCTCTCTCACACACACACACACACACACACACACACACACTTTCCCTTTTCTACTTTTTCATCTCTTATCCCATTCTTCAGCTATACAGTGCAGGTAGGGTGAGAAGTGGAGGCTGGGCCTCATTTTCTCCACAGTCTTTCTGCACTGCTCAGCTGATCACTAAAAAACAGCTGAGGAAAGGGTACAAGTGGGGGGGGGGGATGCTGCAAAGTCCCAAGAGCTGAGCCACTCTCCCCTGCTTCTCAGTTGCAGCGGAAGGGGAATCACAGAGAGGAAAGCTGAAACCTCCCCACATAATGGCCAGCCCACACTGTTGAGCAGAGGAGTGGAAAAACCTGCAAAGCACTGGGGCGGGGAGGGGGTAACTGAAGGGAGGGGTGGAAGCTGGCAGGAGGTGGGAGGGAGGGGCCTGGCCAGAGCCCGATGGAGGGTCTTTATGGACCACTCATGACCCATTGGCCAGAGCTTCCCCACCCTCGATGTAAACATTCTGGGTCACCTGTTTTCAGACAGAAAAGGTCTTGGAAGCAAAATGTCATGAAATGTTTCCAAAACATGACATCATTTATTTAATAATGAATACATAAGCTTCTGCATTATGTTTTGAGTCACATCACATACCATTTTTCTTTTTTCTAATGATAATGAAATGTATGAAAATGTGGGACTTAATTTGTCGACTTGCTTGTCAGGAAACTCCATTGAATGCAATGCATCTTTTACCCAAATAAGCCTGCACAGGACCAAGTGGTGCACATGCTTAAGACTGAAGTTCAATAAATACCCCATATTTGTAACAATTTCCTGAAACAATTTTGAGAATTAAAATTAAGCAGCTACTATATTTTGAAAGAGTGTTCAGAATGTGAGTGATTAAACATGCACAAGGGCCAGATTGTACACACATCAGATGCCTCTATATTTCTTGCCATTTGGAAATTCTACACCAAACTTAGGATATTAATGGCTGACTCTCCCACAGAATTCAATGGAAAAATGAAAAAGATGAATGGTAATAATAAAAATGAATGAATGATGAAAATGCAAATGAAAAGAATTTAAATGAATAATAAATTTTAGAAAGGAGCATAACTTGAAAACAAGGATACTTTTTTTTATTTGCACACTCCTGCTTCACTGACAAATTTGGGACAGTTTACCCCCACTCCTTTAATTACTTTTAGACAAGAGAAGCTATCTCCATAGCAGTGAAACAGTGCCCAAACTAAGCTTTTTTGGATCATGGGTAGTTGGGAAATGCTGGAAGTTATTGGCTTCTTTTGGTCAAAGCATGTATAAAATTCTGCCTTAAAATCACTGTGCTCTATTCTATTCTATTCTATTCTATAGCAGTACAGGTGGGATGGGAGAACAAAACAATTCAACTTGCAGTGGTTTTACAAAATGTCAGTATTCCCCAACCTGTCTGATACCACTTTCGTATGGCAAGGTGGTAAATTTTTCTGCAGTGTTAAAGATGTAATGATGAATAGCAGAGGTGGTGCTAGGTACCCAAAAGATCTGGGGCATAGACTTACAACACAAGAAACAGGTATTGCAAATTTTCATAGGCTAATTTACATATGCTGTAAAGCCTGTCTCCTTGGGTGCCTTTACAGACCCCAAGTACTAAGGACACCCTCTTTGTAAAAAGGAATGCATGGGCAAGCAATAGGAGGGCATTTAATTTCAGAAGAAAAGCTCAGGCAGAAGGATTCAAAGGGCTGGGGCAGCAGGAGAGGAAGCTCCTGTGGGCAAAAAGCCAGCTAATTCATGGGGAGCAGATGCAAGCGCAATCTTAACGCCCCCCCCCCCCCCAATACCTCTATTCCAGCAAGTGCCCCTGGACTGCAGGGTGGTAGGACAGGCAGCCTCCCAGGAAGGGCTCCAAAAGAAAGATGCAGGTCTCAGACACTGGTGGGCTGCCCCTTATCACAGCCTCTGGTCAGTAGGAAAGTGATGATTAGCATCTATAATTGGATATTCCAATTAGAAAGTCAGGGTATAATTACAGTTCATGCTGCTGCTTTATAAAAATAAATCATTTCTAATGTGTGCTTTGGAAGGGATTAAGTATGTTTGATCTGTTGGCAGCAGATTAGGACAATAGAAAGTGAGATGACACCAGTCTGTAAAAGCTAAAATGTATATAAATAGAAGGTTGCTTTATTATCCTTATAGTGAAGGCACTCAGGACAGAGTTTGGAAGGGAGCTTAGAAGAGTCTGTTTTCCTCTCAGGATACTTTATAGTGAAATACTGTTTTTTGTGCAAAAAAATATGAATTGGCTGTAAAAATCTATCAGGATCTAAGGGGAAAGCAAGATTTTTTTCCTCAAGATTTATATTCTTTTCTGATTATTGGCAGATGTAAAATGAGAAGCATGAAATGATAAAACTGAAGGCACATTCAATGAGTAAAGTGTAACAGGCAATTAATAAGGAATGCAACATTTTCTTATTGGAGTCTACAATTGGTTAGGGTTTTCTGAAATAAAATGATTTTCTTATTTATTATTCAGACTGCTGTTTCTAGAGCCAAGGCTGTCATCTGTGCGGGTGGCCTGCAAGATCCAACAAATAAAACGTGAAAGCCTTTTTTATCAAAGGGGAAAAAAGAGAAGAATCACCATCTCAGAAGTTATTCAAAAGGCTTTTGAATGAAAAATCCCCTCCCACACACGCTTGTTTCGGTCCCACATTTTCCATCCTGCTTGAGAATATACAAAATGGAAGTCCCATATAGAATCACTTTCTGGAGATCCATACTGTTTATACCTAATGCTGTAATAATATCTTTCCACTGAAAAATATGTATTATTTTCATATGTCATATGAAGTATTGTCAACTGATTGAAGAAATATTAGTCAATTAGTGATGCAACTAGCTGCTTATGAACTACCTAACTTTAAACAGTTTTTTCCTATGCATAAAAATAAAGAATTATAAGAAACCAGAAGCTTGTGTGTGTTACAGCAAACATTGTCTAGCAAAAGGAATTCCTACGGATGCTTAATAGGTTTTTATAAGCATTTGATTTTAAAATAATATTTTCTACAAAATCTGCTGGCCTGATTAATCCAGGCAGCTTTTTATTATTATTATTATTATTATTATTATTATTATTATTATTATTATTATTATAGCATTTCTATGCCGCCCCTTGCCGAAACCTCGGGGCGGCTTACAACATGATAAAATACATTGAAATACAATAGTACATAATAAATTACCATTAAATATAACAATACAAAAAAATACATTGATTTACAAATACAAAATTAAAATTATCAGTATAAAATAAAAATATAGGAGGAGAAAGAGAAGGAAGAAGAAGTTGCCCAGGCCAGATCATATGTTTTAACAATTGAAATGATGTTTAAATAAAAAGGTCTTTACCTGGCGCCGAAAAACCAGTAACTTTTATGAAGTTGTTTATTATCTAAAAGCCTTTCTTACTGTTGTTAACAGGTCTCCAGTGGGGTCTGTCCACCCACAGAATGAGCACTGTAGGTAGAACAAATTCCCTCTGCTTACCTGAACCACTTACCACCTAAATTTGTTCTTTATTAGGGCAGATTTGGTTGTGGGGACGGGGGAGGAGAAGGAAGTTATGTTGTGTGAGCAGAAATCCACTTGCGTGACACTGAATGGAATTCAATGTTGTTGCTCTCAGTGGACTCATCTAAGTAACCTAAAACATTAAATACAAAGTTACAGCATACAGTATAAATACAATAAACTCAAACACTAGTACAGAGGACTTCACCACAATTGACTGAGCATATGAGAGATCTGCAAAAAATCTCATGGGGCTAAAACGAATACTGGGTTAAATCTAATATTATGCCACTGGAAAAATTACAAAAGTTTGTGGTATTCCACTAACAGGCATGAACAAGATCTAGTCTAGTGAAGTCACAGTGCAATACCTCATGCAACAGAATCAGAGTATCGGATTTGACCCATGCAAAGCAAAAAAAAAGGTATTTCCACAAGTAGTAGAAGCTCTGGGCTAGCAGAACAATACTATTGGATACAACCACAACAGCAATAGAGTTTAAAACAGTTTTAAGCTTCCCTGTAATGTTATTTGTCTATTTATTAGATTTCTATCCTGTCTTTTTCCTTTTTTAAAGAACTCAAAGTGGCTTACATCATTTTCTTCCTGTTGATCTCATCCTCACAACACTATCCCTGTGAGGTAGGTTGGGCTGAGAGTTGTGACTGATCCAAAGTTACCCAGTGGGCTCCTTGGCTGAGCGGGGACTAGAACCCAGATTGCCCAAGTCCTAGTCCTGCACTCTTAACCGTTACAGTGGACTGGCTCTCATTTTGGTAATGTGAGGTATACATAATCAAAATCGAAATCCTATGCATGCCTACTCAAAAGTAAGTTCCACTAAGTTCTGTAGATCTTATACTCATGTAAGTGTGTATAAGATTGTAGCCTAAATGAAACAGATGCATCGGGTTCCTCAGTGCCTCATGCACCTGCCTGTACATTAAATTCTTAATTAGATATCCTCTTCTAAGTGTACTCTGAGGTGAGGTGAGTGGCTACCTGGGAAATGCCCTCTCCAGAGTGGTTTGCTTGAAAACTACTCAGGGACTGGGGAAAGAACATTTTTATCCCCTTTTAATATCTGCTGTCTTGCTAGTTTTTATGTTTTATTGATACTTGTGATTTCTCTCTTTTTAAAAATGAAAATCACTCTGGGACTCTGATTGAAGAGGCACATCCAAATGTTTTATTATACAAATAAATGCATAGCTCTCTCCTTATGTAACAGATTGAGAAGATATACACACTTACTGGGTCTCACTGGAGCTGCAGTGGCATGAGTCATTCCTTTCATGGTTACAACTAAACACACACATGCTATCAACTGTATTCCTTCTTCCATTCTAAAATATATAAGAGTGTACTTCAGAAGACATTTCCGTTGCTACACAGCATCAGGTTGTCTCTGACTTATTGCAACCTATGTATGAATGCCCTCCAAAATGTTCTGTACTTGACAGCTCTGCTTTGCTCTTGTAAACTCAGAAGGCATACCTGAAAACTAAAACATCAGACCTACTGGAATTTCTAATGATCTGAGAACAAGAGTGTAAACTTGTAATTAAAAATCCTGTTCCATTAGATCCCATGAAGAAGTGGTGACCCTGTTTTCTTTCTTTGTAGAAAAACAGAAATGAAGAAATATAAGGTTTATATTAAACTGATCTTGCTGTCTGCTCTGTAGGCAATGACAAAGTACTGCTGGTTTAGACCACTCTCAAAGGATCAAAGTGCCTTACATTAGAAAAACAATTAATTACACTGGTTCAAGAAACACTGCTTGGTAAATGTGATTTTATGGCAATAGCACAGAAAGAAGAGGATTAAATGTCTTGCTGCTTATGCCTATCCCTATAGGCATCATTATTTCTTCCTGGATGTGAAAGTATCACCGTTTCATCACTGACCAATTCTGTCACATTAAGCACAAAGTCAGAAAAACACCTTGAAAGTTGTCTATCCTTCCCACACAGTCACATGGTGCAATCACCGATTCAGGTATGTAGCTGCTGAACTTCTAGCAATCTAGTATATCAGTTTTAGATGTGTTGATTACCACCATCAGTCGACACACAATTATACATCTCAAGTGTCTGTCATTGTTACAGACATCTAAGAATAAGAACCTGATAGGTAGTGTAGGAAGTCTTGCCAAACCTGAAGAATTTTGGACAACAGCCTCAGGATATCAGTTCACTAAGATATAATTAAATAAGATACAGTTGAGTCTTAACCATTAGCAGCATTCAACTTTATTTAAAGTTGGCCAGGGCGGCTTATTTTATATTGGTATTTTGTATTTTTAATTTAATGTTTATATTTTTTAATTTAATGTTATAATTATTTTTTTAACTTATTGTTGTAAGCCGCCCCGAGGCTTTGGCGAATGGGGCGGCATAAAACTGTTTTAATAAATAAATAAATAATAAATAAAATACTTTTTAAAAATGTTAATAGTAAGACATCAACAGTAAGATAAGAACGGAAAGATAAAAACTGCCTTTCTACTTTTTATGGCACACGTGGGGAAAAAAAATTCTTCCAGTTCCAGTGCTTGAACAAAATGAGATGATATGCAGCCGTGTTCTCTGAATCTTACTCACTAGGGCAACCTTTCCCAACCTTGCTAGCAGGGGATCTGGAGGACACAGCAGTGGTGAAGGCTGCCTGTTGTAGTAAGCTTGGTTACACATTCAGTCTTAAAATCAGGAGTAAATTCCACTGATGATAACGAGATTGAATTTCAGGTAAACATGCATAGAAGTGGACTACTAAATTTGTGTTCCTATTTTCCCAGCAGTTTAAGATGGATGTTTAATATTATACTCTGATGGTGGCTGATAAAAATAAAATGACAAACAACCAGAGAACTAAAGTGAATTCAGATTCTCAGCTTGCCCCCTGGGAGATGTATGTTTGTCACTAGCCATGTGCACAATGACAGTAGTTTTATGAGTGAACAAGTCCCAACATGGCAGCCATCCTGTGACAGCATCTGTAGCATTCTCTCAAAATCCTAGTTTCATTATTAGCATATATATTTAAAACTTTGAAATTTTTGAAGTCTATTACATGATCAGATTCTGACTTTTTCCAGCTGGTGCATTCAGTGTACACTTCAAATCACTATGCATGCAATATCTCATCCAATTTCTATCTCACACGGTTAGGCTACTGTTTATTTCTCAAGGAAGTACACAGAGAACATTTCTTGCCTCATTGCATAAACACACGCAGAGTTCCTGCCATTAGCTTAGTGCAAAATCTTTCTCTTCTGCTTTTCCCCTTGTTTTATATTTCTGCCATCATGGGCAACTGCTTCTGACTCATCTCTCACAATGCTTGAGAAAACCCAAATTATGTGGTGAGGAAATGGAAGCGCTCGTGTGGAAAATCAATACCATGCATAGTGGTTTAATGAGAAACCTGTTGAAAGAGAAAACTATTAACACTGCAATGCATAATACATATAATAACAAGATTCAAAGAACAGAATTTAGCATTCTTCCTTTTCCTGATCTGCAAAGTGATAAAAGTCTAAAGGTGTGTTACAAGTCCTGTTCTTTATCTTTTCCTTTGCTGGAACTATGGAGATTGAGAAAGCATTTGCTGAGCCAAAGCTTAAGATTAAGTACATATTATCTGACCTACTTATTACAATAAAAAGTGTAAAAGGAAGAAAAATGGTTAGGGAAATGGTAGAGATTCTCTTTCCTAAGATAACTTCCCATTAGGATTTCACTTCGTTTACAATGAAGTGATCCAACAGAGTAGAGATCATTGTGAAGGCAACCACAAGTGTCTAATGCTATGTATTATTTGTCATCTTTCTATTCTGCCTTTACCTCAAGGACCTCATGGCATCATGGCTGCAATGATCTTTACCAGGAGTACAGAACCTCTTTCAGTCCAAGGGCCAAATTCAATTTTGGAGAAGCTATCAGATGCTGATTTCCAGTGCTAGGTGAGACCAAAGGCAAAGTGGCAGGGCCCAGAACTGGCATCGAGGGTGACATGGTTGGGAACCTCCTGAAGGCCCACATCTCAGCAGGGGTGCACCGTGATCAGCCTCTGAAGTTGCTCCTCCTCTTCACCACTGCAACCTGCTTGGGCATCTGCCTCTTGTTCAAGGCCTGGACAACCGCAGTGGAAAGGAAGGGAAGCAGGTGCTGCTGCTGCTGCTCACTGGCCCTGGCCCTGTGCCTCTGCCTGTCAAGCAAGGAAGTGATAGCAGTGATGAAAGCAAGGATGAGGCCATGAGATGGTACACTCACAGAGCAGTGAGGTGCCATTCAAACAATCGTGACTATTTTAAACAGAGGCGGGGAATTATGGCAAGAAGGAATGAATCAGAGAGGAAGGAACCTCCCAACATGCACAAAAGAGGGTGTGCA